AGGAAGGAAGGAAGGAAGGAAGGAAGGAAGGAAGGAAGGAAGGAAGGAAGGAGGGAAATGAAACCTGATCACAATTCAAATGTTAAAATTTTGTCATTCTAAGTTCTAGGCTTTTTGGTACAAAAATTATTGATGTATTCATCAAACACAGCAATCATAAAATATTTTTAAAACTTTAGGGATATGATCAACATAAATAATAAATGGCCTCTTCATTTTCCTCTCCATGCCATTCATGTAGCACACCTATAGAGTCTATACTGTGATTTCAGGAGCAGTTCTTACAATAATTCTGTGAAGTAAATAGACATGGGCATTATTATCTCCACTTTAAAGATATGGCTATGTTCGAGACAAAAACAGCCGTGACAAATGGGGCCAAGGCAGAGAGAAGGAGGAAACAGGATTGCTTCTCCCGCACACTGAAAGGTGAGGCTGGAATGAGCCCCATGGCAAAGGGACTGCCTGGCCCAGCACACTCGGGCCCCGAGCACAATCCTGGTATCAGAAAATAAAAACAAATAGCCAAGCAGGGCACCTCACATCTATAATCCAGAACTTGGGAGGTGGAGGCAGGAGGATCAAGATGGTCATGGTCATTCTCAGCTACATGTCATCTGGACATCATCTTTTATCCGTGGCTGATCAGGCTTGTGAGACATTTCTACTGTGGGCCTTTCTGACACACTGCTTATACAAATAGTACTCTATTTTGAAGCCTTTCAAAACATGTGGTTTCAAACCCCCATAAAATTTACCATTCCTCAGTATATACAGCTAAACAAAGCTCAATAATTTTAAGACAGATATGGGGAAAATTCTCTTAGCACCTTGTAGTGAAAGGATATAATTTGACATCCTTTTTTATTGTTGTTGTTTTTGAGAAAAGAATATTATTCAATATCTACATCTATATCTGTATCTGTATCTGTATATGTATGTATACATATGTATGTAGCAGATAAGTCATCAATGTTTCAAATATGTCAATGTAAAACCGCACCACATTAAATTATAGTTAAATTAGGAAATATATATATATTTTCTAATATAGACTGCTTCATTTAAAGATAAGTTATGCTTGGTCAAACTTCTGTTCACATTCCTCAACCCCTGTGATATTGGGGACAAAACATTCATTTCCACATATGCCAACTGTGTAAACACAGAGGTCAGCAAACAATCTGAAGGAGGTAGTTCTCTCCTTCCACTATAGGTACACAGGGACTGAACTCAGGCTATCAGGCTTGGCTGCAGGTGCCTTTACCTGTGAAGCCATTTTGCTGGCCCATCTCAGCCTTCTTTGTACTTTTTCTTACGCTGTGCTGAGGACGGAACACAGAGCTTCATGCATGATAGGTAAGTTACATTCTCTGTCCATTATACTTCTTATTTTGAAACAGGGTCTTACTATGTAGGTAGGCTGTCCTGAAGTCACTCTAAATAAAGCAGGCCTTGGACTTGTGATCCTTTTGTGTCGTTATAGGTCTTTATATAAACTGAATTTCCCACAGTGGGGAAAAAGTCAAACCAGTGTTAAAAAAGATTCTATCAGGCTGAATATCATGGCTGAGTTTCGTGGCTGTAGACAGTGGAGACTAGAACCAGATTACCTTAGATTGTCCCTGTAAAAGCCACTCACTGTCCACTCCTGAGTCTGAACATCCCTGTGACTATCAAAATCTGTCAAATGTATTCTCTGTGTGTGGAGAGTTTGGCACCAGTGTCTTCCCCCGTCATTCTCTACTTTATTTTTTGAGACAGTGTCTCTAACTTAACCTGGAGCTCGATGACACAATTAATATGACTGGCAAGGAAGTCACAATGTCTATCTCCCCAGAGCTGGCATTATAGGTGCCTGCTGCCCTGCACAACCTTTACATAGGTGCTGGGGACTACATTCACGTCCTCAAGTTTGTACAGCAAGCACTTTACTGACTGAGTTATCACTACAGCCTTAAAATGTATCCTTAGCAGAACACTAGCCCTTACCAATCTAAAAGCTAAAATTTTTATCAGACATCCTAGACCTATACCAAGTTTCCCTTGGTTTTTGTTGTAGCCTGCTTACTTAAAGTCACCACCCATGTGTTAAACACCTTGATTCATGATTTTCTTTGTTCTGTAACTAATAAAATCTCATGTAACCACTTCCAGTGGTTATAACCTGAACCTGTGCTCCCAGGCTATTGACACTTAGGTTTGGCTCTAGAATAAACTATCTTTTATTTCCTGATGTGAGTGTTATATTTTGTGTCAATAGCACCAACAGCCTGGGCAACTTTCAGCTTCTTAATAAATATATTGCTAGTATAATATATTCACTCCAAAATAATAGTACTCATTTTTATCTAAGAAGGGAAGCAGGCGTTTCTGATAATTTAGTAAAAGGAGCTACACAGCATCTTTTACTAAATGAATTGTCAGATTTATAAATTCTCTAATAATAACTTTATAAATCACAGTGCATGCTGGTTCTGACTACTGACATTCCTTAGCAAGAAGTAAAATTATGGAAACTGTGGGGATGTGTTTCCTTCACCGAGATACACAATTAAGTTCTACCACTTAACAAGAATGGCTACCTGGTGGCAAAATTATTGGCTACATTTATCAATACTGTTCATAGTGTGCATGCTCAGCGACACCAATCTCACGGTATTAACAGTGCCCTTGTCTGTCATGACATCAGATACATGTTAGAGCAACAGTAGTTTTGTACTTCTGAATACATCTCCCAATACAGCCTCACCACAAAAGGTTACTGAGAACAATGTATCTGAGTATTTAAAAAGCACTCTGGTAATGTGCATTAGTCACGTCTCTTTGCACCCTCTAAGGTGTGGGCTGACGCTGTCTATTCAGCAGACAAAGAAGGAATGCATTTTAATACAAGGAGGGGAAATCACTGATTGACAGTTCTTGCGAAAAGGTTAAAAATTCAAAAGGGGTGTCTGCATGTGGCTCTGAACTTAAAAGCTTTTTCTTTCTTCCCAATAGAAGAGCAGTAGCAAGTAATAGCAGGTTGCCATGGAGACAAGAAACTAGAGGGATCAAAGAACTCAATTTGCAGTTAAATGGGCTGGAAACAATCCTTACTAGTTGGTGAAAGAAAACGATTAAAAATATACTTGATTGCCTAGAGGGATTCTTGTACACCTAGCTATTCTCAAGCTCATTAATGAACAAGGAAATCTCAAAAAACCCTCTAAACCACTAAATGAAAACCCAAGGCATCCATAAGTTAAAATGCTGAGCATCAGTCAGGACTCAAAGAGCATCACAATCCTTACTGTACTGACTGAGAGTCTTGTTAATAATATTTGCTAATATCATTGAAATGAGATTAAAACTGTATTCAAAGCTAAACTGAGATAACCAGGGTCTAGAACCTCAGCAGAATCAGCAGGCAAAGTCCAGGGCAACAGATTCAGGTACTAACAGCTCAGATGTAAACCCTCAGCATACCTTTGTGAGTGCTGTAAAGGGCTGCAAATGTCACGGTGAAGAAAGTTGTGGAGTATTTGCCAGCGTTTACTAGATGAGGGAAGGCTCTTCTTGTATCACGGTACCGGCGCAGGCACTGGATGAAGCGAAGCCAAGCAGGAATGCACTGAACAATAGCTCGCACACCATATGTATATCTGTGGCAAAATTCTGGTTCTGTAAAGATTTCAAAGAAGATGGGAAAAAAATCTCAATTCAAAAAAATGCATTGTTCATGCCATTTAGTCACACAGTACAACTACCAATCAGCATGTCCATAAAACCTTAACCCGTGGGTTCAGTCACTTCCTCCTACGCAGGTGCTATTTACTCATGCTCTTTAGTGGCTGAGAAGCCAAGGAGAAGCCAAGAAGAAGGCAAGGCGACTACCAGGAAAATATGTTCTCTTGGATTTCTGAATATGCTAGAATCAACTCAAGTGCAATTTTTCACTTTTTTTCAAGTGTAATAAAACTATAGGAAAAGAGTCTATGAATAAAAGAATGGAAAAACCTGCTTTGTTCTATGACTTTAAACATATGGAAAACCTAGAAATATCACAGGTATGGAGATGGTTTTATAAGTGGCATGCTACTATAAAACATATACCCAGAGTACATGTTCTGTGGCCTCCCTTCTAATTAAGAACAACCCTATGGTTCATTACTGGTTTTAATGCTGCTTTGGAGTGGTTTTTGTTTTTAAGACAGGATTTCATTATGCATCCCAAGCTGCCCAGGGACTATCCTATGATTTCAGCCTCCTCAGTGCTGGATTGCAGGTGCTTGCTGCCATACCCAATTTATCATTATCTTTTGTGAGTACAGGCTATACATATGTCTACATTAGATCTTTGTTATGAATGCAAACGTTCTAACTACATGAACTTGCCATTACCCAAGCATGGGTAAAGAGCCAGAAGAAGGCCAAGACTTCTAAACTGACCAGGATGTTCTCAAGGCACTTGACCTGATTCTAAGCAATCAGTACTTTGATCACTGACACCTACAATGGCATCCTGAGCATTTCTGTGAGGACAAATTGCTGGCACACTAGCATTTGTGATACAGCTACCAACACATATGAACGTTGAGAGATTACTGCAGAATTCTTTAAGTGTAAGTTGTAAATTTCTTGGCAAATGGTTGACTAAAATCATAACACAACTTAAAAGCCAAATGATTTCAGATAAGGAGATTGCTAACAGAGTGCCAAGCACATTTAATTACATGTGTAATGCTATTTGGATGAGTTTTCATCATGACCTTAACTGTCGCAGTTATCATTCCCAATAGTTCTTGGTTTATGCTGGCAATTCAGTAGCGTGAATACAAAATCATACCCTACCTTGCGGATCGCTTGGCAACAGGCCCTTACTCTCATCCCATTTAAGCTCAAAACTGTAGAAGCAGATCATATATTCCAGGTCCATGAGAATCACTGACAGGCTGTTCAGCTGATCGGCCAGCCAGAAATCAGCAAAGCCTACCTTATGGAAGGGAGCAGTAAATACTCGAAACTGAGAAAAAGAAAGAAAAGAAAATGAGAAAACATAGAAACAGTTCTTCAGGTCAAGGCTGACCATTCAGAGTGACTGCTGATAAAAAGGAAACCAATAAATCACAGACATACACAAAGCCCAGACAATGAGGTTGGGTTAAGTAGTAAAGCAGTAAAGAGTTGAATGCAAAGTTGTAAGGGAAACAGTGTTTGTGGGTGACTGTGGGGTTATTGGTATTTAAAAATAGAAAGCAAGAGGAGGGAGAATATACTAGGCAAAGTGGTTCATTCCTGTAAGCCAGGCATTTAGAAGGCTGAGGCAGGACTGCAACAAGTTTGAGGCTAGCCTGAGCTACCTCAAAGACCCCATCAAGAAAAAAACAAATGATGGCAGCACAGAGAGACAACCTGGTGTTAGGCTGCAAAGCATTTGCTAGACAGGAGACACATGGCTGACTAACTACAAAGCTCTTCTTTGCCTACAAAAGACAGAAAGGGCCAGTCAGTGGTGGCGCATGCCTTTAATCCCAACACTGGGGAGGCAGAGGCATGCAGATCTCTGAGTTTGTGGGCAGCCTGGTCTACACTGTGAGTTCTAGGACAGCCAAGGCCGCACAGAAAAACCCTGTCTCAAAACATAGGGAGGGGAAAACAGGCAGGGAAGGGTGATTACATCATCTGAGGCATGATGTAACATTCTCTAACCTAAGCTATTCTTACAGCATTGGGTTTCAAACCCAGGATCTTATGCAGAAAAGGCAAGCACTCTACCACTTAACTGCACCCCAGCCTATGTAATATTGATTTCACTAATGTAATGGTAATGACTATGTTCACCTTGTCATTTCCACAAAAATCACCCCTCTGACCACTATTCTGAAAATAATGATAAATCTATTAAGCAAACTTATTGCACACTAACTCATGCGATATATTCTCTTAGGATTTATGGAATAGTATAGCTCAATCTTTAAAACAATTCTTTTCTTAAGGGGAGTAGGTTGAGACAGACCTATGTAGGCCAGGCTGGCCTCTAATTTGAAATTCTCCTGCCTTTACTCACTAAGTTCTAGGATCATATGTGTAGCAGCATGCTTAACTTTCTCATAGCAATTCCAAAGCTATGTCCTTTGCTATTCCCATTAACACAAACTCATCCTGACTTGTTTTGTATAAACCTGTTATAACTGCAAAGGAAACCCTGGCATTGCAGAGCAGAATCAAACACTAGTGCAATCAGCAGGAATAAACTCAAGTTGTACAGAGGACCCAAACAATCCTGCACGAAGGAGTATTGATAAAGATAGCTTTTATCTTTATCCTCTTAGACTTCCCTGATTTTATTATACAAAAGAAAATGTGTAAGATAATAATGTATTCCTCTGACACAGTAGTAATTTTGAAAAACTCGTTTAAATTCTTAACTCTCTGGATATATTGCTGTATTCATTTAGTAGACACATTCAACCTGGGACTCCATGGCAACCCTCCTCTCAGATGTGGCTGTTTTTTTCTATTTATTCTATAAACATTTCTCTTCAGAGAGATACATGACTATAACGTATGAATCCTCCTGACTGTCATCTATAACAAATACTGTATTGAAACTAGATTTGGAAACAACAATAACAAGTTTTGAGATACTGGTCTCTGAAGCTGATATCTTTTAATTCCATGATCCTCTGGAACTGGAATTACAGGCAGTTTTGAACTGCCATTTGAGTGCTGAGAATCAAACCTGGGACCTCTGGAAGGGCAGCCTGTGCTCTTAACCACTGAGCCATCTCTCCAGCCCCTTAAGTTCATGTGCATGTACACACAATTTTACTACAGAACTAACAAAAATATTGGTTAAAAAGTGATCTGTATGCACATGGTAGTGGCACATGGCTTTAGTCCTTGGACTTGGGAGGCAGTGGCAGGCAGATTTAGGTGAGTTCAAGACTAGCCTGTTTTGCAAATCGAATTTCAGGACAACCAAGGGCATACCCAGATATCTTTCCTTGAAAAACAACAACAACATCACAAAAGAAACTGATCTCTAAATGATATAACTAAGGACTCTATTTTAAAACTTTAGTTAGCTTAGTAGAAGAATATGGTAATGTTACTATTGGAAAATCTGGGGCTTTGCTTGTGCTTCCTAATTGGATTTCTAGTTGGGGCAAATACAGAGATAGGAAAGAGGACAAAAGACCTACTGAGTATAAATAGACTGCACTAGATCAGACATACTAACACAGCACAGAGTTGGACTTAAAGTCCTTAAGCCTTTTTTGGGGGGGAGGGAAAGAAGGGAAGGTAGCATATGTTAATTTCAAAGATTCCCATATAACTATGAATATAAATGGTGGTGAAAAACAAGGGAAATAAGAATTTTATTTTAGGAAAACATTTTCAAAGAAATATAACTATAGTGAAGACATTCTATTAACTCTCTGACATACATTTTAGGGACTAATTTTATCAATGAAGTTTGAATAAAATAAATAGGTCAACTGATTTTAAATGACCTTTACACAATAACATTTGTGTTTTAGTAACAATATTACAAAAAGAACAAATTACTCTTTCTTTTTATATCTCACTGCTTCTAGGAAGGCTTTTACTGTTGTGTTAATCCTTCTTCTACATCACACCAGCCTATTCAATCAACCAGTCTGCATTCATCAACACACACACAGTGCAGACCCAGACATAAATATCCACTCAACAGGGATCACTCTACTAATCAGAGAAAGCAGCCATGCATGAAATCATGGCTTCCTACTTAAACAAAGGATGCACTGGGGAACTGCACACAATGTACACACCTACATCATCCTGTTATTGCAATATTATCATAGTAAGCTTTTCAAATCTTCCAAAAAATCTCATTTAGAAATAATTTTATAGAAAAACTAGAGAGGTGGCTCAGTAGTTAATTTACTTGCTGCTCTTGTGGAAGATGGGGGTTCAGTTCCCAGCACTGACAAGTGGTTCACAATTGTCTGTAACTAAGCTCCAAGGATCCAATGCCTTCTTTTGGATTCCATGAATAACAGCCACACATGTGGTACACATAGATATATGGAGGCACCCACATATATGAAATAAATCTTTTAACAAATAGACAATTTATAGGGATTTTACAGTTATAGGTAATCTAAGATAATACTGATATAAATGCAGTATAAAGTGACCTTGGACTTCTGATCCTTCTGCCTTTAACTCCTAAGAAAGGGATTACACGATGCCACTATGCCTGGCTCTCTTTAGGAAAAAAAAAAAAAAAAAGAAAAGTTCTACATATTAACACACTGGTTAACTAATGATAATATATAAAATTAATTCACTATTTGGTCACTTTATACTTCATTTTACGGGGGGAAAAATGTCAAGCACTTTCCCAGGGATGCTGTTATAAACTTTCAAGGTTATCAGGTATGCATCAAAAGCACTTGCTTCTGAAGCTGGGCACCACTCACATGGCACAATATAAACTCTGCCTCTGAGGCTGTGCAATCCAGCAGCCACGCGTGGCATCTGAGGAAGCCAATGCTAATGTACTATTCTAAAAATGTCGTGCACGCCTTCTAGACTTACCAAAAGTTTAAGCAGCCAAAATCTGGATTTATAGTAGAAAGTTTTGGTGGGGTTGATAAGAAAGAAGACCATAAACCCATAAAGGGCAAGTGGATACACATAGATAGGGACGACACCAATTGGAGCAAAGAAGCAGGCCAGGAGGCTCAGGCACCACAATATCCCCAGGAATCCAGCAATCTGTAAGTACAGGGAACACAAAAGAGACAAAGTTACTTCTTATCATTACATAAAATAACCTTTAATAAACAAAGACAAGAAAAACAATTAACAATCCTCAACTGTGAGACGGACCTGAGCATCCATCAGGTCGGCCACTCAGAATGGAGTACACTCATGAGATTCCCAGTGAGGTGGCCATTTACTCAGTGCGGACATGTTCACAAAACTATGCTTTATTACCTCAAAGAGATGCTGATGAGACAAATTGCTTCTTGGATTAAGTTCAAAGATGAGGACATGATTTACTCCAGCTTGTCTCCAACCATATGTGTTGATGCCCAGTAGAAAAAGGAATTCAATCAGAAGAAAGCCACCCCGATAGATTCTTATCAAGGGCCATACAGTTCTATCTGTTTCAAGTTTAAATACAGCTGAAAGAAAATGTATTGGTTAGTTATAAAATCTACAATGTTCTCTTTAATTATCCTTTCTCTTCATTCTCTGAGACACAGCCCTAGCACAAGACATTTCCACAATCTATATCTGGATTATCTTAAGAGTCTGATAAACTTGCCTCTAGGTTCTTTTTTCTGCCTCTTTACTCAGCAAAGTGCAATTAGAATAATTTCCCTCAAACTTTTTTTTTATCATGTTATTCCATTGTTTTATAAGCTTTTTTATTTTGCTTTGTTTCTAAATTCAGGACAATAAAGTTAAATGTCTTTGAACCTTATTAAAAGTAAAACAGCTTTTGTTTTTGTTTTGAGATGTGCAGTCCTGGCTATCCTGCTATGTAGACCAGGCTGGCCTCAGACTTACAAAGATCCTCTTGCGTCTGCCTCCCGTGTGCTGGCATTAAAGATGTGCACCGCCATGCCTAGTATAAGACTAGTTTTGTCAGTGCGAGCTTCTTGTACAGTATAACCTTGTCAACATCACTTTCTCTGTCATTACACTAGCTACATTAACTTCTACCTCACAGACTTGTTGTAAAGTGAAAAGATACAAACCATAAGACAATGTGGCCTTTCTGATGGGGCAGACTCCTAGCTGGTCTGCTTCCCTGAAGACACCATATCCTGACCCCTCCTAGAAGAACCACTGCACTCAGAGCAACAGAAGAGGCACTGCACTCAGAGCAGTTGAGGAAGCTGGATTCTCAGGAGCTCTAACATGCCCAGGATCATAGGATTTCAGGATCCCGGAGGTAGCCTGAGTCCCAGGAGCTCTTCCAACCAGGATCTCAGGATCACAGGATCACAGAGACAGCTAGACTCTGAGGAATTCTGACTCAAGCAAGATAACAGGAGGGACAGGTTCCAGTCAGAGACAGTGAGTGCAAGTAGCACTAGAGATAACCAGATAAAGAAAGGCACACACAAGAATATAAGCAACAGAAACCAAAGTTACCTGGCATCATCAGAACCCAGTTCTCCCACCATAAGTCCTGGCCATACCATCACACTGGAAAAGCAGGATTCAGATTTTTGTTTGTTTGTTTGTTTGTCTGTTTTGAGACAGGGTTTCTCTGTGTAGCCCTGGCTATCCTGGAACTCACTCAGTAGACCAGGCTGCCCTGGAACTCAGAAATCCACCTGCCTCTGCCTCCCAAGTGCTGGAATTAAAGGTGTGCGCCACCACTGCCCGGCTCCTGTATTTCTTTAAGGAAGTTATTTATGTCCTTATAGTCCTCTATCATCATCATGAGAAGTGATTTTAAATCTGAATCCTGGCCGGGC